ACTCCACCTGCATAAATGACAGCGTGACTGCACCTCTGACCGCCCACGGCACAGAGGAATTAATGACAGAAGAGCCATACCCAGGTTTTGAGACACAAGTCCAGCAAATTCTGAAAGATGCTGATGCCATACAGGAGGATGCAGACCGCCACAAACTCTGTCAAGTCTTGTACAAATACAAGAAATCATTTGCCAAGGACTCTTACCAGCTTACACCAAAGGGGTCGCTGTTCGACTCAACCTGCGAAGCGGCCAAACTCTCAGTCACACCCTAGGCTTCTTCCAACCTTCACCCGAATGTGGGGAACTGGGCCTCACTTTGGAAGCCACACCCCTCGTCGAAGTGACATCTCGGGCAACCTACATCTTGTTCAATAACTGCATGGCAACGGATGTCAGAGTGCCTAAGGCGTACCGTCTGGGTTGGCTAGTGAGCTATGACTTTCATGACTTTGAACTAATTCTACCAATTATTGGACCCATCTCAGATCCAATGATTCCAGAAGAAAGCTCAGGCCACACAGTGTTAACAGCACCCTTCAAGATCATCACCATAACCTCAGTCATGCCAGTAGTCAAGGAGCAGGTGTGTAGAACAGAACTAACAGAAGACCAACACTTTGCCGTGTACACGGTCTCTAACAACTCCACCTGCATAAATGACAGCTCGTCTGCACCTATGACCGCCCACAGCACAGAGGAATTAACGACAGCAGAGCCATACCCAGGTTTTGAGACACAAGTCCAGCAAATTCTGAAAGATGCTGATGCCATACAGGAGGATGCAGACCGCCACAAACTCCGTCAAGTCCTTTACAAATACAAGGAATCATTTGCCAAGGACTCTTTAGATTGTGGCCACCATGTTGTGCGTGTCCCAACGCACCCAAAAGCTCCACCCACTTTTGTCAAGCAATTCAAGATCCCCCTTGAATCGTACGAACCCGTACAGGAGATCATCAACTCTATGCTTGAGAAGGGTGTCATTCGTCCGTGTAACAGCACCTACTCTGCCCCCATCTGGCCTGTCATCAAATCAAACGGCAAGTGGCGGCCGACCATCGACTATAGGAAACTGAATCAACAGGGGCCCTTGTCGCGATGGCCGATGACCCAGCTGGAACAGGAGATACCAAGAATCAGAGGAGCCACAATCTTCTCCACTCTTGATGTGGCCTCAGGATTTTGGACTATACCAGTGCATCCAGATGACCAACACAAGCTGGCTTTCACCTTTTGCAATCGGCAGTACACCTTCACCAGGTGCCCATTCGGCTATGCCAACTCACCAGCCGAATTTAACACCTTCCTCAACAAAGCATGCCCGGATGCCAGGGTAAGAGGGAACTTAATCTATGTTGACGACCTTCTGATGAAACACACGATGGTGACCGATCACCTGAAAGAAATTGACCATGTCCTGCACCAACTGACCGCCACCGGTGCCAAGATTGCCCTCCACAAAGGACAATGGTGCAAAACCAAGGTCAATTACGTGGGCATACTCATCAGACCACGAGGTATTGAGCCACAAACCAGCTGCATCCAGGCCATTCAGAACATTAAACCACCTGCCAATGTTTCAGAACTCCGAAGTTTTCTAGGCGTGTGCAACTATTCAAGGCAGTTCATTGAGAACTATTCGGAGATTGCACGCCCTCTCACTGCCCTTCTGAAAAAGGACTGCCCTTTCGCCTGGACAGACGAACAGCTAAATGCCATGAATGAGCTGAAACAACATCTGTGCAGTGCTCCATGTCTGGCTTACCCAGATCCACAGAAGGAGTTCTACTTGGACGCTGGATTCTCCAGCCACTGCCTCAGCGCTGGTATATACCAACGGCATGACCAGGACAAAAGGGTGGTCGCATATGCCAGCAAGACTCTTCTTCCCCCAGAGTGCAAATACTCAGACTGTGAGAAAGCCCTGCTCTGTACTGTATGGGCCATCCAGAGATTCTCCAACTACATCGGAGCACAGAAAGTGATCATAGAGACTTGTCACCAGCCTGTCACTTTCCTCAACAGCCAGCGCATCCGCGACGGTGTGGTCACAAACGCACGCATAGCCACATGGCTCATGGCCCTCCAGTGGCGCAACATAGAAGCACGATATGCTCAAAATCACAAGTCGGCGCTGGGAAACGGCCTGGCAGCCTGCCAAAGCTGCTCCGATGACACACCGACTGAGATCGTAGAAGCAGAAAGGCCTCAACCACCGCCACCTACCTGCCACAGGTATTTTGACGAGAATATCTGCCAAGGCATGCACACAGCCTACGTCGATGGATGTTCCTACAACCACGAGGGAATCCTAAAGGCAGTGCTGGTGTTCTCTGGCTAAATGATCGACCCTGCCCACCACAACACTTCAAACTGGTTCACTGCCATCTGAAAATTAGGATCCACCTGCCATCCGGCTTTCAGGATCTACCTGCCATCTAGCCATTATGATCCACCTGCTACCCGATCATCATGATCCACCTGCTGTCCGACCATCATGAAAACTGTTGTCTGACGATGTGTGCAGGTGAACTTCGTCAGCCAAAAGGGGGGCTGTAGCGTCTGCGTAGAATCATGCATGATCTTTGGGTTTTATGGCTTAAGAGACCCTTTTAGCTTTTGACATTTGCATATAAATTACAGTCCTGGTCACAGACGTTACATTTATATGGGTGCTAAATGTCAAATGGTTTCCCCCCCCCACTATCAAGTAGATGCTAAACAGTTTCACCACTCTCGTTTTCCCTTTGGAGTTTCAAACACATTCCAAAGAGATGTAAATGACCCCCGGGGCCAGGCACAATGGGCCTGGCTGACCAAGCAAACTAACACACACACACACGTAAAAACCTTTTAATCTGTTATACTCTACAAATATATCTGGTATAAATATATGTGTTGTTTGTACGTTTCCCTATTAGATTAGCTGAGTTACCACTCGTTATTTGTATTAGTTAAAGCCCTAAACACTGATATTCAGGGGTATGGATGTATCTTTGGTTTAATCAATTCTAAAGGTCTCTTTCTTGGTATCAATATTATCTGCTCTTTATTCTTCAAACAATGATGTACAGTATGTGATTGTGAAATGCATCATACGATTTGTACTATATTTTGGGTTAAAACTGCAGAAATTCCAGACCGGCCATAAAACATGCAAATGGGCCATAAAGGGAAACAAAGGAAACTTCTCCCGCTCAAAAATTTTTGCCTGGTATTGGCCAGTCCACCCAGAATAGGAACCATCAAAAGTGATTAGCCCGAAATAATCTTTGCTCAGAAACCCTTTTCGTTTGAGACAACACTTTTCCAAGACTCTCAAGATCTTCCTCTTGAGTTTTTATTTTCCGGCAGTTTTTATCTTCAAGTAACTTTAGTCGCTGTGGACTTTTCCTTCTTCAGAAGAACCAGAAGTAAAACTTCCAGCTCACTCCTAAAGAACTCATCAAAGACCTCCGTTGTCTACCGCATCAGGACTCTTGTTCAGCAATCGAAACTTTTGATTTTTGATTCTTTGATGATTTTCAAAGGTTGTGGTTAAGTGATGTGAAATACTGCCATTCTTTTTCTTTCCTCTCTCTTTTCCTTACTTTGGACAGATCAAATAATTGTAATATTGATTCTGCTACAGTTAATTCGAAGATATAATCTAAATATTTATTATTAATCATAACCAGTTATAATTAGTCATACATATTTCCCTTTTGAGCTGATTTACTACAAAATAGTAATAGTGATTATTTGATATGCTAAATTACTGGATATCATTGCTGTATTCACTGGTGTCTTCAGGTAAACAGCATTTGTTTTAATGTGTGCAGATAGTGGAGGCTCCTGTAAAAGTGTGGTTGTGGATTTTTTTTAACTTTCGAATCAGTCTCTATTTCTCTCTATTTCCGTTCAGCCTCCTCTTGTTCTTGCTGTCATGTCGTTGCCCCTCTCACATTTATTTCTAGCTCAGTCTTTCCCACATTCTTCATATAAACCCTGTAATTGATTACATTGAAAATAGCTGTGTAAGGATAATAAGCAAAAAAAAAAAAGGTACATTAAGTGGCATTTATGTTTTATGCAAGTCAAACATGATAAAATGCATGTATTACATTTTTGAATATAATTTAATATAATATAATATAATATAATATAATATAATATAATATAATATAATATAATAATATGACCACTGTAAAAAAATATAATAATAATATGACCACTGTAATATCTTTGGGCATTTTTGGTTCTCAGGTAAAATTTGCTTTAAGAATGCTGAAGGTATTTTCTAGAAAACTAGACTGAGATTGAGACAACTTTTTTTTTTTTGTAGTGTAATAGTAATAATAACAAAATATATTTTCAGATTTTGTGTCTTTGTTTTTCCGCAGGGCTGAAATCACTCTAGGGAATATCATCAAAAGGAAAGGCTGGAGGTGACCTGCTTTTGTTCTTATGTCTGTCATTTTTTATTAATTTTGTGGCAGAACAGTCTGAATATAAGAATAACGCAGCCTACTATACATATTCCTCTCAGTCTCAATTTATGGAAAATGTTTTTATGTTTTATCTTGAATTTCTGTATTCCTGTAAGACAGTCTTAGGTTTGTCCACACTATAATAAACACCCAAAAATCTGTTTCAGACGGTCCAGTTATGTAGTAACGACTAAGATCTACTGGGGAGGACAGTGAGTATCTGTTCAGTTCTATCTTGTAGTATATTCAGACCGACACAAAAGATTCAGAATAGTATCAAAGTGAATACTTGTAACCGCACAAGTTCTTAAAAAAAAGGTTCTTTAACTATTTGTCTTTAATAGTCTTTAACTATCAATCTTAGGTGATCAGCAAATTTAGTGTGACAATTTGTAAATCTGCAGAATCAACAATCAATAAATGCAAAAGAAAAAAATGTGAACACGCTTGATTTTGTGAAGGTAAACATTTTTACAGACTTTTATCCAAAAGTTAGTTGCGATCCATTTCCGCCACTAAATAAAAAAATATATAAAGGTAATTGTGGCTTCTCACAATTCTGACTTTTTTTTTCTCAAAATTGCGAGTTTACATTTCGCAATTCTGACTTTTTTTTCTTCTCAAAATTGCAAGTTTACATTTCGCAGATCTGACTTTTTTCCCCTCAAAATTGTGAGTTTACATTTTGCAATTCTGACCTTTTTTTTTCTCAAAATCGCGAGTTTACGTTTCGTAATTCTGACATTTTTCTATTGCAAGTAAAGTCAGAATTATAAAATATCAACTCCCAATTCTGAGAAGACAAGACAGAATTGTGAAAAAAAAATCGCATTTGAGAGAAGAAAAGTCAGAATTGTGGGAAATAAACTTGCAAAGGCGAGAAAAAAAGTCAGAATTGTGAGATACAACATTGCAGTTTTTTATTTTTTGTTCAGTGGCTGAAACAGGCTTCCATAATATACAAATAAAATGAAAATGGTGTGTTTAAAATATAGCTTATTCAATACCAGCTGCTTGTTCACCATGTTGCAGCATGCTGACACTCAAGTTAAATTGATTGCATTTTGTGTATATTCATCTTGACTCCGTAACTATCCTCTCTGACATTTGCATTCATAATCCTCAGGGCAGAGACAGAGAGAGGCCTGTCCAGAAAACACATCATAGAAGGTAAAGTGCTGTTTATGACTAATAAGACGATCACAATAAAGCGGACAGACAGTGATGGTGATGTGTCTACAGGTCTCAGAGGTTCCCTGTCTAGACTACAGCTGGATTACGTGGATATTGTCTTTGCCAACCGAAACGATGTGAACAGCCCTATGGAAGGTCTGTAATTTCTTTTACATCTTTCATGGCATATGTTGCGGATGCATAATTTATGGCATATCGCTTATCACAAGTGCTGTTGTGTGTTTGTCTTTACAGAGGTAGTACGTGCGATGACATTTGTTATAAACCAGGGTATGGCCATGTACTGGGGCACGTCACGCTGGAGTGCCATGGAGATCATGGTACAGTCCGTCTTCTCTCAATACACCAAAACTGATCACACTTCATTCTGGGGACCAATTCTCACTATATTTGGAACGGAGCCGACGAGACAAGAGACGTGCGGATCCATCTGCAAAGCTTTTATTAAGTGCGTGGTCAAAACAGGCGAGGGTCAGGCAATGGCAAACTGGTATATAGAAGACAAAACAAGAGCAGTCCAGTAAACAAGCGAGGGTCAGTCGACGGCGAACGTAATCCAACAGGGGCGAGACTAGAGGGATAAATCCAGGAAACCAGGCAAGGATCAGAAACAGAGAAAACAGACAAGGCAAGACTAGGCTAAGGCAGGGAAACTAACGAGGGCTCTGTAGTGTAGCTATCAAATGATAAGCGCTAAACAATACTCGGCCGAGGGAAGGGATCAGAGTGAGTGTTAAATAGTGAGTGAGTGAATGATATGAAACAGCTGTGTGCAATCAGTGCTGTGCGCAATCAGTGAACCAGCTGTGTGCAATCAGTGCTGTGTGCAATCAGTGCAATGAATGATGGGATATGTAGTCCGGGGTGATATGCAACAGTGTGTAGTGCGAGAGTCAATGAAAATGGAAAGGGTGACCTCTGATGGCTAGCAGATGGAAGTTCATGGACCGGATACGTAACAATATTCTAACTACAACTTTTGCCTCAATAGAATTAATAAGGCATTAATATGTGCTTTAGAAGTACTAATAAACAGCCAATATGCTAGTAATATGCATGCTAATAAGCAACTAGTTAATAGTGAGAATTGGTCCCTGAATTAAAGTGTTACCTCAAAATTCATACTATGAGCATTCCTGTGTCTTATCTGTTTCTCATGTAAGTCAAGGCAAAAGCTACTCGCAATTTAAAGTAGTTAAAATGACTAAGTCAAGCAACTCCTTTAAGAAAATAGCTTAAAGCCATTAAGCCATAAGGGGATAATGCCTTTTAAAATGTACTGTCCAGCGATATCATTTTTATTTCTATTTTTCTCAAGCATGTTGAAAAAACTCACATATATATGTGACCCTGGAGCACAAAACCAGTCATAAGTCACTGGGGTTTATTTGTAGCAACAGCCAAAAATACATTGTATGGGTAAAAATTATTGATTTTTCTTTTATGCCAAAATCATTAGGATATTAAGTAAAGATCATGTTCCATGAAGATATTTTGTAAATTTCCTACTGCAAATATATTAAAACTTAATTTTTGATTAGTAATATGCATTGCTAAGGACTTCATTTGGACAACTTTAAAGGCGATTCTCTCTTTTGCACCCTCAGATTCCAGATTTTCAAATAGTTGTATCTTGGCCAAATATTGTCCTAACCTAACAAACCGTTATTCAGCTTTCAGATGATGTATAAATCTCAATTTCGAAAAATTGACCCTTATGACTGGTTTTGTGGTCCAGGGTCACATATTTATATGTAAACATACTTTAGTGATGAAACTACATTTGACCACAAATTGTGACCGCAAATACTTTTATTCTTTTATCAAGAAGATTTAAGGATTCGATATATTTTTTAAACCGATTCTAGCAGTTTCCAATGCTGCATATGAAACAAAAAAATGGAAAGTGTATTATGGAAAATATTATGGAAGCCGTTTATGCCACAAAATAAAAAATAAAAAGTAACTGTGACTTTTTAAACATGGAATTGTGAGAAAGTCAGAATTCTGAGCATTCTATCTCGCAATTCTGTTATTTTTTGCCCTGCCACAGAATTCAAAACTAGTAATTGTGACTCAAAATTCATATTTTTTCTCACATTTCTGACTTTTCTTTTCAGAGTTTATATTTCGCAATTGTGAGTTGTAAATGTGCAATTGCAAGTTAATATCTCACAGTTCTGATTTTATATATTGCAATTCTGATTTTAATCTTATTTGATCTAATTTCTGAGAAAAAAGTCTGAATTGTGAGATATAAACTTGTCTTTTTTATTTTTTTATTTATTTATTTTTATTCTGTGACAGAAACAGGCTACCATTAGTACTATTAAAAATATCAATATAACATTTGGTTGTGCTACACTTCTACTTATTGGAAGAAGTGTCCTACTTGTTACTGGAAATGTTACAATATTATTATGAAAATATGTGACCCTGGACCACAAAACCAGTCATAAGGGTAATTTTTTTGAAATTGAGATGTATAGATCAGCCGAAAGCTGAATAAACAAGCTTTCCATTGATGTATGTTTTGTTAGGATAGGACAATATTTGGCCGAGATACAACTATTTGAAAATCTGGAATCTGAGGAGGCAAAAAAATCTAAATATTGAGAAAATCGCCTTTAAAGTTGTCAAAATGAAGTTCTTAGCAATGTATATTACTAATCAAAATTTATGTTTTGATATATTTACAGTAGGAACTTTACAAAATATCTTCAATAAACATGATCTTTACTTAATATCCTAATGATTTTTGGCATAAAAGAAATATCATTAATTCTGACCCATACAATGTATTTTTGGCTATTGCTAGAAATATACCCGTGCTACTTAAGACTGGTTTTGTGATCCAGGGTCACATAAATGAACTACTGTCAAAAATCGTATTACATTAATGTCTGTACTATTAGTTAATTACTCCCCAACACTGCTGTTTGCATTGATTGTTAAGATCTGGGCCACTGAAAGGACAGTTTAACCCCTTTTTGTCTGTGTGTTTGTGTGTTTAGGAGGCATACTCTGTAGCGAGGCAGTTTAATTTAATTCCACCGGTATGTGAGCAGGCCGAGTATCACTATTTCCAGAGGGATAAAATCGAGGTGCAGCTGCCAGAGCTCTACCACAAGATAGGTCAGTCAACAAGAGTTACCTTAGAATGAAATTTAAAATACATCATTGAAACCTTTAGTGAATGTATTTTTTTCTATTTAAATTTTAATTATTAAAAAGTGAGCTTTTTAAAGTGACTTCAGTATGTTAAGAAAGTCATGAAATTGGACTATTTAAACACACTCAAATGACTTTTTATTGCATCAAGATTATCTGCAAGTACAGTGTTTTAAAATAGTCTTAAAGGTTTAAAGTACTTGTGGTGTTACTGCAATATACAATATAGAATCACTTTAAAGGTCTATGCCATTAAACCAAGTGTGTAATTATTCAACTAGCTAACAATAAAAATGTTGTCAGTTAAGCTAACTTTGTTTTAGTGAAATCATGTCATTGCAATGGCAGTTGCTCAGCTGGTATATATGCTGCCCGTAAGTATTCAACGTGCCATGGGACGTAAATGTCATGTGACTGATCTCTTAGAGCTCTTCGAAGCTGATGGGGAAAGCTAAAAGCCACAATTAGTCACTGGTGAAACATATAATACAAATTAATGAACTATTTCTGATGTTTTTGATGTTTCATACTACAAAACTACATTTAGCCAATACAGAATAGAATGGCAGGATGCATTTACCGTGCCTATCTTGACCCCTGCTCCGGCGAGAAAAGATTTGACCTGAAAGAGAAAATTGACTGAAGTATTATCTACAGTGCTATGCTGCAAATGCAACTATTTTAATGTGCAAAATCTTCGTTCATTTAAAGTTGAAGTTCATGTTTGAGTTGAGGTTTAATTAGGACAGATGTCAACTCTAACTCCATGTCTTGTGACTGTCACATGCTGCGTCAGGTGTCGGAGCGATGACCTGGTCTCCTCTCGCATGTGGGCTGATCACTGGAAAATACAGTGATGGTGTTCCAGACTGTTCAAGAGCCGGGATCAAAGTGAGTCCTAAAGAGCTTGTCAACAGCAGTGGATTTTTTCTCTCTTCTCCTGAATCTCTTTTCAATTTCCAAGTGCTATTTGGTTTGAAATGGTATCTTCTAAATGAATAAATTCATGTGAGCAATCATAAATGTTCAGTTGTGTGACTGTGTGTATTAGGGCTATCAGTGGCTAAAGGAGCGAGTGTACAGTGAAGAAGGGCGCAGACAACTGGCAAAAATCAAAGAGCTCCACCTGGTGGCTGACAGGCTGGGCTGCACAGCTGCTCAGCTCGCCATTGGTGAGTCAGTGTCTCTATACTTTTGGTGTAAATGGTCTCGTCCACTCTCAAGCTTATTTTGGCCAAGAATCGTCCACTTATGTGAGCTGCCCAGCTCCTGGAAGTTGTATAAAGTCAGCCAGGCAAATTAGAGCATGCCAGACTGAGAAAGTGTTTGTCATTATTGTGCGATATGCATCAGATAGTCATTGAACGGTCTGTGCTTTCAAATGTCTTGATGTTTTTTTATAAAACCCAGTGCTTGTGAAATCTCTCACTCAGCATGGTGTTTGCGTAGCGAAGGGGTCAGTTCTGTACTTCTTGGTGTCTCCAATACAGACCAGCTTCTTGAGAACCTTGGAGCCCTGCGGGTAACACACACACACACACACACACACACACACACACACGCACGCACACACATGAGTTTGTTTGATTATCTCAGTGAGGACATTGTATAGACTTCCATCGATTTTCTATCAGCTAACCCAACCCTTAGAACTAAACTTACCTATTACAGAAACATGTGTAGAACACTAGATTTAAATTTTAACTAGTGAGGACATTTGATCCTCGCAAGTATTGTCAAAACAAGCGCGCACACACCCACACACACACACACACACACACACACACACACAACCATTTAAAAGCTTAGAATTCGAAGTATTTTTTACTGTTTCTTAAAGAAGTCTCTTATACTCACTGTGAGCATTTGTTTGATCAAAAATACACTACAAATTATTACGATGTGAAGTATTATTACAATTTAAAATAACATTTTCTATTTGAATATATTTAAAAATGTAATTTATTCCTGTGACTCCAGTCTTCAGTGTCACATGATCCTTCAGAAATCATTCCTTTGTGAAAAAGAAATGCTTAGTTGAACTTGCAGATAATATAATGTTAATGAAATAATAGACCACTTAAGTGTACTTACACTCCCCTCCAAAAGTATTGGAACAGTGAGGCCAATTCCTTTATTTTTGCTGTAGGCTGAAAACATTTGGGTTTGAGATCAAAAATGAATATGAGACAAGAGATCAACATTTCAGCTTGTATTTCCAGGTATTTTCATCTGGATCTGATACACAACTTTAAGCACCTTTTGTTTGAACCCACCCATTGCTGATGTGACCAAAAGTACTGGAACATGTGACTGACTGGTGTGTTTTGTTGCCCTGGTCTGGCCTATTAATTGATTATTCAAACAATAAATAGCACTGAATGTCTGCACTCAGTTTCAGATTTGGGTTTTGCCTCTGCAGACTGCATTTATAGTTAGATGTGTAACCAATTTGAAAACCAGAGAGCTGTCTATGGGTGAAAAACAAGCAATTGTGAAGCTGAGAGAAGATGGAAAATCAGTCAGAGCCATTGCATAAACATTGGCCATAGCCAGTACAACCATTTGGAATGTCCTAAAGAAGAAAGAAACCACTGATGTACTAAGTAACAGACCTCAAATGGGTAGACCAAGGAAAACATCAGCAGTTGAAGACAAAAACATTGTGACAGCTGTAAAAAAGAAAGACTCTAAAACAACTGTTAGTGAAATCAGCAACAACCTCCAGAGCGCAGGAGTGAAGGTATCACAATCTACTGTTCACAGAAGACTTCATGAAAAAAAGTACAGAGGCTACACCAGAAGATGCAAACCACTCATTAGCAAGAAGAATAGGAGACGAGCCTCAAAAATTCTGGGACAAAGTTTTATGGACTAAAGCGATGGAAAGGCTAAAGTTTGGAGAAAAAAGGATCTGCTCATGATCCCAAACATACAAGCTCATCTGAAACACAGTGGAGGTAATGTCATGGCTTGGGCTTGCATCGCTTCTTCTGGGACGGTCTCATTAATCTTAATTGATGATGTAACACATGACGGCAGCAGCCAAATGAACTCAGAAGTCTACAGAAACATTTTGTCTGCCAGTTTACAGAAAGATGCTACCAAACTTATTGGGAGATCCTTCATCATGCAGCAAGATAATGACCCAAAACATAGTGCCAAAGCAACAAAGGAGTTAATCAGGGGCAAGAAGTGGAAGGTTTTAGACTGGCCAAGTCAATCTCCAGACTTAAACCCTATAGAGCAGGGATCCTCAAATCTGGCCCACGAGATCCACTTTCCTGCAGAGTTTAGCTCTAGCCCTAATCAAACACTCCTGAGCAAGCTAATCATTGTCTTCAGGATCATTAGAAAATCACAGGTAGGTGAGTTTGATCAGGGTTGGAGCTAAACTGGCCTATTAATTGATTATTCAAACAATAAATAGCACTGAATGTCTGCACTCAGTTTCAGATTTGGGTTTTGCCTGTGCAGACTACATTTATAGTTAGATGTGTAACCGACATGAAAACCAGATAGCTGTCTATGGGTGAAAAACAAGGAATGGTGAAGCTGAGAGAAGATGGAAAATGACTCAGAGCCATTGCACAAACATTGGCCCTAGCCAGTACAACCATTTGAGGAAGAAAGAAACCACTGGTGTACTAAGTAACAGACCTCGAACAGGTAGACCAAGGAAAACATCAGCAGTTGAAGACAAAAACATTGTGACAGCTGTAAAAAAGAAAGACTCTAAAACAACTGTTAGTGAAATCAGCAACAACCTCCAGAGCGCAGGAGTGAAGGTATCACAATCTACTGTTCACAGAAGACTTCATGAAAAAAAGTACAGAGGCTACACCAGAAGATGCAAACCACTCATTAGCAAGAAGAATAGGAGACGAGCCTCAAAAATTCTGGGACAAAGTTTTATGGACTAAAGCGATGGAAAGGCTAAAGTTTGGAGAAAAAAGGATCTGCTCATGATCCCAAACATACAAGCTCATCTGAAACACAGTGGAGGTAATGTCATGGCTTGGGCTTGCATCGCTTCTTCTGGGACGGTCTCATTAATCTTAATTGATGATGTAACACATGACGGCAGCAGCCAAATGAACTCAGAAGTCTACAGAAACATTTTGTCTGCCAGTTTACAGAAAGATGCTACCAAACTTATTGGGAGATCCTTCATCATGCAGCAAGATAATGACCCAAAACATAGTGCCAAAGCAACAAAGGAGTTAATCAGGGGCAAGAAGTGGAAGGTTTTAGACTGGCCAAGTCAATCTCCAGACTTAAACCCTATAGAGCAGGGATCCTCAAATCTGGCCCACGAGATCCACTTTCCTGCAGAGTTTAGCTCTAGCCCTAATCAAACACTCCTGAGCAAGCTAATCATTGTCTTCAGGATCATTAGAAAATCACAGGTAGGTGAGTTTGATCAGGGTTGGAGCTAAACTCTGCAGCGCATTGGCCCTCCAGGGCAAGATTTGAGGAGCCCTGCTACAGAGTATCCATTTTACCTGCTAAAGAAGAAACTGTAAGGAGTTACCCCCCAAAACTAAAAGAAGCTGCGGTGAAAGCCTAGAAAAGCATCACAAAAGAAGAATGCAAAAGTTTGGTGATGCGGCAGGATTGATGCAGTTATTGCAAGCAAAGGATTTGCATCTAAATACTAAGTCTTATTCACTTTAATCTAGTTTAAGTCAATCTGTTCCAGTACTTTTGGTCACATGAGTAATGGGTGGGTTCAAGCAAAAGGTGCTATCTTCTAAGTTGTGTTTATCAGATCCAGATGTGAATACCTGTAAATAAAAGCTGAAATGTTGATCTCTTGTCTCATATTAATCTTTTGCTGTCAACCCCAAATGCTTTCAGTCTACTGTACAGCAAAAATAAAGGGATTGACCTCACTGTTCCAATACTTTTAGAGGGGAGTGTATAAACTTAAAACTAAAGAATGTTTTTACACACTTTAAAAAAAATAACAATAATCAAATTCAAAGTTTTTAAGATCTTTTTTCAGTTTAAAGAAGTACACTTATTTTGATGTGCTGATTAGCATACTAAAGTACATTTAAAGTATTTCATTATTGTAAGTATAGTGTCATTTTATATTATTTTATGTATAGTTGATATATTTTATTTGTACTAAATTGCAATTCGTCGTTTGTGCAAAATGTGCAATTACAAATATATATTAAATACGTTTGAATATAAATTACATTACAATGTTTTATTTTACCTTAAATGCTTGTCAGTACATTCTGAAGTACACAATTTTATGAAATTACAAATTAAGCCCTACTTCAGTGGGTCAAAAAAGATATATAACATTAATCATAAACTATAAAACATTTTTAACTGTAATGAACATGTATTACATTCAGTTTGCACTTAAATATGTTCTTTAAAGTATACTGTTTTCTTAAGAAGTACTCATTTTAAAAGTTTGCTAAAGTTTCTGATTTGACACTCAAACAAGGAATATTTCTCATTATTATCAATGTTTAAAACAGCTGTGCTGCTTTAATATTTTTGTGAAAACCGTAATGCATTTTTCACGATTCTTTGATGAATAGATATGTTCAAAAGAACAGAATTGATCTGAAACAGAAATCTTTTGTAACATTATAAAAGTATTTTTTTATCAATGTAATGAATCTCTGCTGAATAAGTATTCGCTTCTTTCCTTACGATCAGACAGACTTCCTAATAACATGATTTTCATATTCTCACTAGGTGCTGTCTCAGATGACGCCTCAGACTGTGAGCGAGATAGATGCTCTCCTGGGCAACAAGCCTCACTCCAAGAAAGAGTCACGTGCGTGAGGGAACCAGAACATGTGCGGCCAGAAAAGACAAAGAAAGCAAGGGGGAAAAGATGGAACACGGCGTACCATCGCTTTTCTGCTCTCCCATATATTCTCCCTGCATGCCTTCTGCAACATGCTTCCAGCCCATACCGCCCTGCTCTCTGTAACCCTACTCAAGTACCATAACCTATGAATTAAACACGGAAACGGCTGTCTGCAACATCACAGAAATGCGACAAACAACAGCTGTTATCATTTCTTTACTCTGAGAGACTGAAGTTTCAGTCTTCCATGAGGAAGTACTGTGGATTGTAGGAGGAGAATGGAATGAAAGTGGCAAAAAGCTTGTTTATCAGCAGGCCCAGACGGAATCTGCACTTTCATGCAGTTTCCGCTGTAGACTTCCACTGTTTCCTCTGCCGAATTTCCATTGCCAAATTCTGTGAAATGGATCAAATGTGATGAAACTGGAGCTAAGAGTGGTATATTCTTATTGGCAGCTGAAAGCATTGTCGAATTTGCCAAAATATTTATTAAACCAACATGCACGGGGCAAATGATGTGTAGGACTTTGCCAAATCTGTGCAGATTCTGCATGGGCCTGGCTGTGCGGGTATGTGTTCAAGGAAGTACGACTACGTGTGCAATTCAGTGCCACTTTGAATGAAACTCTCTGTTGCTGGTGTTGCACCTGAGTGACTCGGAAAACGGATGCTGTGTGACGCCAAGCGAAGATGTTTCTGAGAGCTGCCCGTCCCGTTTGTTGGAGTGTTCACTGCCTGTCACATTTCATTCTCGCTGTGCAGGAGAGCGTGGCAAACACTCCGGCGTGTGACAGGAACAACATGCAGCAACTGCAAACAGCTGTTTGGACACATCACAAGTCTTCCTCCATTTCCCTCCTTTCCATCTCTCCTTGTGTTTACAATGGTGCACCTGTCCCTTTAAGAGAATTTGTGCAATTAGGGGAGTGGCGTGTGAGTGTGTATATGGTACTTTGCAAATATATTCAGACCCTCACCAATTTTTAACCCTCTACTTTAAAAAAACAACAACAACTGTTTAGTCATTATTGTGATTCCTAACAAGCACCTAACTCTCAGTAAACTTAAAGGGTTAATTCACCCAAAAATTCCTTAGACAGAAATGCAACTGCAATGTTTCCAGGTCCAGAAATGTAGGAAAGACATCAGTAAAATAGTCCATGTGACATCAGGGGTTCATCCGTAATTTTACAAAGCTATGAGAATTTTTTTTGTGTGCAAAGAAAACTATAATAATATAATTTATTCAATAATTCTTCTCCCCGAGTTACTGTCTTCTGCCATTTTGGAGAATACAGAGAGTTCTCAGATTTTATCAAAAATATCTTAATTTGTGTTCTGAAGATGAACGAAGGTCTTACGGGTTTGGAACGACATGAGGGTGAGTAATTAATGACAGAATGTTCAATTTTGGGTGAGTTAACCCTTTAAACTGATGCATAACTCATTCCACACTGTCAAAAAAAAAAGTGTGCAAACATTTTAACTTTAGGGGAGCAACAAATTGTCACTGGGGCAGAACCCTCAAAGGGACACATGTACCTTTACCCCTAAAGGGTTCATAATATGCCCTTAAGAGTACATATTACTATGTTAAGGTTATATTTTATAACTCCTAGGTACTGATATGCACCCTTTAGAGGAAAAGAAGGTACAAATGTGTCCCTTTGAGGGTTCTGCCCCAGTGACAAGCTGTTGCTCCCCTAAAGGTACACATTTTGCAGTTATTTATTTATTTAGAACGCTCACTGTTTGTGCTACAAGCAGGAAAGATACCTCAAATCATCCGGCTTGTTTCAAAGGGATTTTAATTACAAAAACAGGCAAGAAAATCTTATAGACTTACATTGAAGGAGGGACTTGAGCCACATTTAGGGACCATAATATCATTGTCAAAGTCTATAGCCATATCTTGAACCTAATGTTAATAGCTTTAAAATACCCGAATGGTATAGTCTTTTTTTTATACAAGAATTTAACTGAATGGGGGATGTAGAAGAAAGAAGAACCGTAAAAGAACAAGAATATTTTTAAACATTTTCAACATATTAGGCATGTGAATAAGATTAAATGTGTTGAAAATGCAAAACAGAGAAACATTTCTCATCTCGTCTTATTTGATTATGAATTGCATGAATCACAAAGATTTTCGAATCAGAATGGCAAAATTTGTAAAAAGTAGTTTGCATCACTGGATATTACTGTTGATTTCTATCACAAAACGGTTGTCAAATATTAAATGTTAAGTTTCCTGGTCAAAATAAATAAATAAAAAATAGATAAAAATGAAACATGCACGTATGAATTGTAACAATAATATCTATAATATGCATTTAGAAAAAAGCCATCCATGTAGAGCCATCCTTTGCAGCAATGATAGCTTTCAGACTTTTGGAGTATGAATGCATGAACGCACTGTCCAGATGTAATTTTGCTCCAGGTTGTTTGAGATTAGTCAGATGTTCCTTCTGCATTACAATGTTCCAATAGTGCCACAGATTGTGACGTCAGTGCTATAACTGTGCCATTCCAGGACATTCAGCTCTGTTCTTCAGCTACACTCTTAAAAATAAAGGTGCTTCAAAAGGTTCTTCAAGCGATGCCATAGAAGAACCATCTTTGGTTCCACAAAGAACCATTCAGTCAAAGGTTCTTTAAAGAACCATCTCTTTCTTACCTTTTTATAATCTGAAGAACCTTCTTTCGCCACAAAGAACCTTTTGTGAAACAGAAAGGTTCTTCAGATGTTGAAGGTTCTTTATGGAACCATTTAGGCAAAAAGGTTCTTCTATGGCATCGTGAAGAACCTTTATTTTTAAGAGTGTATTGCTGAATGTCCTGCTTCGGCAGTCTTTTGCAGACTAAAAAAAGAATATCAGTTGGTGATGGGCTCTTTTGACTTGGAGCAGTATGCAACCCCACAGAACCTTGCAACAACCTAAAGCAACCAGAAAACCCAAATGAATACTGTATTTTGTATTACAACATAAAATATTTTGTGAACAATTAATTTTAAGAATATTTTCTTATAATATCTAAGAATATTTTCTTATTATTTAATCAATTCTGCACTAGTATCAGCACCAAATGGAGGTGCAATCTGTTTGAGAAGTCTGTCTGGGCCAGATATAGCAGGGACTGTTTGCTTGAACAATAGCAGGCAAAAAGGATGTTTGAAAATTCATTATTTTTTCAAAATCTGTTTTGTGCAAGATACACACTTCACCTTCATATGCAGGATTTGCAGGTCATTATAATTTGCGAATTGGGTCATGGTCTGAATACTTTTGCAAGGCGTCATACAGCAACAACCTAAAGCAACCAGAAAACCCAAATGAATACTGTATTTTGTATTACAACATAAAATATTTTGTGAACAATTAATTTTAAGAATATTTTCTTAATATAATATCTAAGAATATTTTCTTATTATTTAATCAATTCTGCACTAGTATCAGCACCAAATGGAGGTGCAATCTGTTTGAGAAGTCTGTCTGGGCCAGATATAGCAGGGACTGTTTGCTTGAACAATAGCAGGCAAAAAGGATGTTTGAAAATTATTTTTTCAAAATCTGTTTTGTGCAAGATACACACTTCACCTTCATATGCAGGATTTGCAGGTCATTATAATTTGCGAATTGGGTCATGGTCTGAATACTTTTGCAAGGCGTCATACGTGTGGGGCTTGGCTTCAGCGGTCAGCATCCTTTGCACTAAGTGGACAGAGTCATAATTTAAAGATCATAGTTCACAAATAGTCATGAAGGTCATAGGTTAACATGACCAGAGAACTGTGCTAGTATTGCTTTGTGTTTGACAAATTCTAGCTGCGTCAGTGACAATGAAAAGCAAAGCGCTTCACTTTTAAAATGTCTTTGTGTCATTCAATGATTTCAGATCGAAAGACACAGATTGGCTAGATTAAGTAACTACTGTCAATTTCCCATCAGCCATTGTTGAATATCACAGTGTGCAGTGCCTCGGAACGTGGTTCATAACTCCACCTGTTCCATAACCCAGTTACCACAGAAAATCATTTGGACTTGCCCTTCATCTTGTAAAAATACAAATGTTGTTTACAGTAATGCATTTACAATGAGCATCTAAGGGGCAAGTGCACCAAATGGGTTAAAGCTGAAATGTGAAGCTATATACTTTGCACTGAGAAGGTTAATAACTGATATTCTCATATTAGCTTTGTGTATAATCTTGTGGTTACACTTTCAAAATTGTATTTTAGAATTTATAACAGTACAGTGCCTTGTCCCATAGACTTCCATTAATGCAAGTGCGTTACTGTAAATAGTTTTTGTTTATAAAAACAAAACTAAAAAACTAAAAAATAAGCTCAAGTAATTTTCTGCAGTAACTGACGTGGTGAACTATCCTTTTAACTCTACTGAACCCAGGCAAAAACAAAAAGACAAAAAGATTTAGTTCAGCACAATAAACAGGCACAGACAGAATTAAACCCTTTTGTATTAAACTAAGTTCGGTTTTACGATATGTGTAATATGAGTTGCATTGGATAAACCCAGACCTTGGTCAGCAAAACTAGCAAGATTCACTGCTCTTATTACAATTCAAATTTCATTATTTTTACATTTTTATTGGAATACTTTTGCCTTCTCAAAAATCCAAGACTGCTATTTTTTTCAGCTAAGCTTCACTCTATTAAACAGAGCGAGGATTGGAGAGAATAATGAGCACTGATAGATCTGAGATCAGTTATGCTGCTTTTCTTAGCATATTTAAAAGTAAAGGTCGAAAGGTCAAGCTGGTCCTGGGTCACTTCTTAATGGGGTAACAAGTCCCTTTAGTGGTAATTCAAGTTCACTTCTGTATTCTCTCTACAGCACTGGTTGGTTCTAATGTCTCTTTGTATTTATAATGATCAATGATTTATGTAAGTATTGTACCTGAGTTGGCAAGTTGGAAAGGCATCGAAATGACTGAACTTTTTTAATTCATATAA